TAGTCTTAGCTGACAACAGCTGAGGTCCTGTTTGGAAAAATGCTAACTGCATTGAGGGTAGGTAAAAACACTGCAAGGGGAATTTATCAAAACTGGAGCAGCCAAAATCTGATTGGTTGCCCTGGGCAGCTGCTCCAGATTCTATCTGCTCTAATTTTGATGAATTCCCCCCTGTATGTTTTAGAACTATTGTTTGCATAATATACCTTAGAAACAATAGCACTGCCTATTTTTAAACAGAAACCTGAAGAAAATGAATTTGCTGATGGCAAACTGCTGATGGCACTTTACAACAGGCACCTCTGCCCCCTCCTACCTACTAAGCCCCACCATTTTCGAATAGCTAAAATAGGTGACTTTAGTTGTCAATAGTGGGAGAGGCAAGGAATAGTTTTTTTTACCCAGGGCATAAATTAACCAAAATGGCCAGGGGTTCAAGAGTCTCAGAACACTAAGAAAAATCAACCTGGTGTTTAGACATCTGCTGGTGCCTGCTATGCGGTGCCAGGTAAGTATTTAACATCAGCATTGCTTTATATTGGGGATTGCTTGGTGTATGCACAATTATTCAGTCACAGGCAGTGTGCAGAGCAGATATGTCCAAAGCTAGTTTTTGAAAAGTCAGTGTTTGATCAAAATTAATTTTTGTATGCCATTCCATAAAAAAAATAAAAATAAAAGAACAGATGTTCTGAGGAACTATGGTGCACATACCAAGTGGTAAAACACCATCACCATGGCACCACAAATGTAATACACAGCTGTATAAGTGAGAACTGCCTAGAATAGCTAGGCCCAGTTTATTCATGTGCACAGTGTACTGTTATCAACTTTTTCAAAATATTTCAGTTTAACACCCAGTATTGGAAAAAAAAATTAGAGACATCCTGTTAAACAGCACGAACATGAATGGTATTTTATGTTGAGCATCAAGCTAGTTGAGGATGCTTAAGCAAAACGATGACTAGGTCTAAAAACTTGCAGACAGCTTCAAATGACACTAAACTCAGAAGTCAAATCTTAAAAATGCCTCACGTACCTTAACTATAATCAAAAATGTGTTCTATTTGTGCATCACTCGGCTGTAGATCCTCAAATCCTCTCTGAATTGGTGCTGAGACTGTCCTTCCTTCTGGAGGGTGGCTACTTATGTTCCCCATGGACACCATGTGTTGTAAAGTTGTCACCGCTCCAAGCTCACTCCCGTGATAGACTACAATCTGACGTTTAGTTTACTAATCTGCATTGAAGTTATAGTCCCTGTTTAAGTTTGTACCACTGTAGGATTGTAAGACGTATTCTTAGTCAAGGCAAGTGAAGTCATGTTTTAATGCTTAGTCTGCTGCGTGTTATTACCACAAAGTTCACTTGTCTAAACACTGCATGCACAATGATGGCCATGAAAGCTTTAGTGGCCTTATGTCTTCCTTTGTTTATACAACTATATTAACTAAAACATACCTAAATGTGTACTGTTTATCAGGCAATACATTAGTAAATGTATTCAAATTAGAGTATGGAAACAAGAAAACACCTCTACAATGTAGATGTTTTCAATAATAAACCTTTTATATGCAAGAGAATAAATAACTATATTGTATCATTTTAACATGCTTGTCTAATGCTTTGGAAACTTATTATGTAATGACTGAGAAAATACATCTGCAATCCTATGAAAACATGTAAACTTCACCTCTATAGTGTCTGTGTTATGAACACATACAGAAACAAATATATGCCTATTATCATTTTTATATTGCTAGACCTTTACACGTAACTGGCCAGCAGACTTTACAGTAGAAATATAATTTTATACTGGTTCAATAAAAATATCTGGAGCAAGCTAGGCTGTCAAATACAAATCTGTCAGCGTTGATGCCAAGTCATTTTTTTGCAATAAATGTTAAAGACACTGAGAACATCTATCGCAAGACATATGCAGACAGAGGTCACTATGGCAAAGGCAAGCAAAGGTTAAAATGTGTTTCACTGTTTGCAGGAAAAGGGGGTGAAATGTGTGCCGAACATGAATTTAGTTTACTGTAAAAAATTCATATTCAGAAGTTTGCAGTGTCTACCTTTTTATACAGAATAACTTTAATACTTCATTTTAACAATTGTTATATTGGTTTCCACTAAGAGACAATCATTTTGCTTTATGCAGTAACCATCTCACTTCAATACAGGCATAAGGTTTAATGAGACATTTGTAGTTTTAGAAGTTTCAGAAAGGAAACACACAAACCCTACAAAATGTCTGTTAAGGTTCTCAAAACACAAAAATTCCCCAGCCTCAACCTGCCAGCCAGCCTGCAACCAAACAAATAGCCCTGTCAACAGTATGCGTTAAAATCAGAGGTTTTAGTTGCACAAACTTTTGGCCAAAAATATGTAGAAGCCACACTGCCGCGCCAAGGCACCTCTGCAAAGTGTGGTCCTAACTCTATGTATCCGAGTCTCCAAGTGTGAGCATATTAATGAAGTCGATAAATTACATGCAGGTGTACCTGGAGGTAGCCAACTCCTCCTAATAAGGTGCAGGGACGCACTGGAGGCCCAGCAACCAAAAATGCACGTTGGGACTCCAGTGCATCCCCCAAACCAAAAATAGTCAAACTAGAAAAGATGGTACATGCATGAATCTATAACCAGCCTTAAGGTTCTCATTCATCCAGGTCATGGTATATCTGCAAAAAATAAGTCAAGGCAACTGGACTTGCTGTATTTTTCTTCATCTTTCAAGAAAAATACAGCAAGTCCAGTTGCCTTGACTTATTTTTTACAGATAAACCCTACAAAGTGCGGAATTCTGACTGGTTGTTATTGGCTATGCACACTTCCCTTTAAGAGATGTCTGAATAAGTTGCTATGGATTACTGTACATCACTTTTTGCACTCTGTTATTGAATTAGAGCTGAATTAAAATGTTTAGCAAGCTAATGTAACGTAAAGCTGTGTTTTATATGGAAAATATGAATGTATTGTTCACAGAAATGTAGAAACTCAGCCAAGAGAGGGCAGTCAGTAGCAGATTTTGTATAGTTTTCTAAAGACATGTTCTTGTCCTGAGTTCGTGCATGCTCCAAATAAACTCGTGCCTCTTAAACTGCACTCAAACAACCTTACTGTGGCAAATGTCATCTTCCACAGTCTAACATTGAGAAAAATAATTGCTGGACATCCCAGTCAGTAGCTTACCTTACCTACACATTACATGGAATTCATATTAGAACAGTCTATAAATAATACAGAGAACCATTGATAAAGAAGACTATTTTAGCACAATTATTTTGTTTAAGTGAATTGGTAAACTTGCAGGCTATATATTTAAACATTTACATCTCCTTGGTATATGAGGAGTGCAATATTGTTTATCTGATCTATGGTTATTCTTGCTGCTTTAACAGCTGTACAGGACCCATGGTTACAATCAAATACTTAAAAGAAAGACTATGGATAATAACACCATGTATAGCCCTCAGGGGAATTGATGCAAACTGAGAACCTTATACTCTTCATGCTATTTCCCATAGCTGGCTGTACATTTATAACTGACATCTTTTTTTCTTCATAAATGAAGGGCAATTTTAGCTTAGAAATGCTTGTCAGTGGGACCAGCATGCATTGTGACTTTCTGAATACCTTAATAGGATATCTAATCAGATGCTTCAATGAAAACTTTTTTTGGCAAGTTTGGGTAAAGAAGGAAATTACTGTACCTAATTCCCTCTCAGGGTTTAGTTATGTTCTATTGGATTTCCCCTCATTTCCTACCTAGCTCAGGGATACAACAAACAGTGAGGTGAGGTCAGGGGAGGGGAAGCCCTTCTTAGACAGCTATCACTGTAACAGTTTCGTTATTGGAATCTGTTGCTCACCTTCTGTTTCATTGACTATTGTAAAAATGTGAGATTTCTTATCTGTCCAGTGACAATGGTCAGCATGACAAAGAAAGGTAACTCTCCCCAGCAAGGACACAAACAGTAATAAAAACCAGGCAGGGGTTATAATCCTATCTACTTTAAAGAAGAACTCCAGGCAGAAGAAAGCTTAACCCTCACAGTGAGGCTATCCCCGCACCGCAAAGGGATTAGAGCTCGTGTTTGTCTAGGTTGTAATATAACAAAGATATACTCTGGCTGCTAGAACTGTCACTGCAGCCTCGCTACCCCCCCATTGCCTCTTACAGCACCGGAGCGAAGGGGGAGAGAGGCTGCAGAGACCGGTGTAGCAGCCAGGTGGAATAAAGGTTGGGTGAGTATTTTTCTGGATTTAGAGGAGCTCAGGTTCAGACTGGGTTTGGTGCAAATCTGAGCTCACCTTTGTAGGTACAGTTTATCAAGGTGAGCAGAGAATCGCCGAAAAGATTGTGTAATAAATCCACCATTTTTTCTTCATCATCTGTTGGAAGTCCTTTGAATGCATAATCCTCATTGTGTGGAGCACTAAGGCATTTAGATGAGACTGTGGGGTCTATTCATCTAATATATATATATATATATATATATACATACATATACACACATACAAATATATGTAGTTCATATGCAATATATATGCATATATAATGACAAAGATAACAGCACACTATATAATAAAAGCAAGACCACAGGGAAATAATACTGTTGTCAATAGCAATCAGACAAAAAAGTTATTTCCTAACCTGTTCTGGGAAAATCAAGATATTGAACATAAATGGTCACATTTTCTTTTTGATTTTGTAATATGTTACAGCCTCACACATTTTGTTTAACATAAAGTCCTGTGATCTTTATTTTACCATTGGGAACATTTGGCACTGCCTGGCAATGGAAGGTGCATGGCTCTCTACTTGGCTGGAGGCAGTGAGACCAATGACACCTTCCAACTGATAACACTTACATGTAATTTCCAATAGCTATTTATGTGAAATCTGTCTACTAGAACACCACTTTCAGATCTGATTTTATGCATCCTGGTGGGCTGATGATTGACATTTATAACTGTTGCATTTTAATTACCTGGCTTGTTTGTGGACTGGACGGGTCATAAGAAGGAACATAGTTCTTCAGGGCATCCTGAGGATTCAGGTGTGGAGGATATCGGATTGTTGGATGAGAAAAGTAGGAACTTGGGGCCGGAGGAAGTATAGCTTGCGTTGCAAATGGCAGAGGGGAGGGTGAAGTCCTGGTTGAGATGACTGGCAACACAAAAGAAAAAAGAACATTACTGTTTAAATTTGTTTCTTGTTTTGTCAGGATTATGAAGAAAAGGAACACCTGGATAGAAGAAAACACAAGAAAACATTCTCTTATTATACTTATTATAATTATAATATTGTACTTATTATATATCTCCTGAAATACTTATTTGATTACTTTGCCTGCTGTACTAGGAACTTAGATGAAGCCTAAATACCAGACGTCCCTTGAGAACTAACAGTCCAACTTTCCCATATCAGGCTGCTCAAAGTCTTGTTTAGATTTCAGGAATTACACCATTCTCTGATTTAGCACTGCTTGAAATAAAAGCATTATTCCCAGAAAGAAAACATATTTCACTGGTTAAGTATTTTCTCCAGAGTCTTGAAAGATAACAAAACTCACATATTTGTGATCCTTTGCATCACACTGGGAAATAAGTCATCATCAACTACTAATGAGTTTTGGCTGCAATGGGACACTACATCAATAATCGATTATAATCGATTATGTCGATTAGTTGTTGCAGCCCTACATACCTGCAAGGCTTATGGGAGACTATTTACTTGCAAATGTACCCTCACTTGTCTAAAGTAAAAGTAATGAAATTAAATGTATTCTCATTGCTGCTTGGCATTAAAATAACTGATTTTTTGAAGCATATATTAGTGAATTTAAATGGTTGTGTGCAATTGCCTATCTTTGTATTAAATTACCATATTACTCTAAGCATTAGCTGGCATTTCAAATCAGGGTCACCATCACAGTATCTACCTTAGAAGATGAAATTAGAATATAGGTCAAGGGTCTAGGGAGTATTCTGCAAAAATCGGGCTCATGTACACACCAGATCGGGCAGTATCATGTGTGAGTCAGCAGTGCGGGAATGGCATTCAGGCTCATGTAAATTTTCAGGATGTAGAACATCTACAGGCACATAAATGTATTTCTACTATCTGCAAGCTACAGGAAACTAAAGACTAAGGGGGCACGGGGGTACTATAGCAGCAAAGGTAAAAACAGTGAAGTATACCTGACATGAAAGAAATGTGTTATCCTAGTCTCCTTCCAGAAATGCTAGTTGCTAGTTTCATTATGCGTGTGTCTAGCTACAATAGTTCTGTGTCACGGCCCTGGAAAAAGCATACTGCAACTGAAAGTCGGAGAAAAGTCAAAACTCCTTAAATCTTTGCATGTATTAGGCTCATGAATCAGAAATATTTACGCTAAATTATCAAGATTACAGCAAAGTAACCAGTATTTTCTGCAGTGGATATTTCTTTAAACAAGTGTGCTAATCAAACTTTCTCATATACAGAAAAAAATATAATAAAGATTGCATTAAAAAATAACTTAAAGTGTAGCTAAAGCTAACATTATTTCATTTTTAGTTTGATAAAAAGAGAAGAATAAAAGGTATCTCTCCAACAAGAAGGAAATTCCCTTTGACTGTAATCACTGGTCCCCATTGGAATATGTCCTCTCTGTTCGTGTTTTGCTGACAGCTAACAGGTCTATTCACAAAAGGGTGAAGAGTTTGGAGAAGGCAGGAGAAGTGAACAATCTAGGACAACATAGCTGAACTGGAAAGTGAGTTGAATTGGAGAATTTTTCCAAATCCGCTATTTTGGCCTAGATTGTTCACTTCTCTTGCCTTCTCCAAACTCTTCACCCTTTTGTGAATAGACCTATTAATATTTTGGCTTTTTCTTAACTCACAGAAAGTCACAGATAGATTGATTACCGGGGGGAAAAAAAGAGGATGAATCGCCCTTACAGGGACTCGGACAGCAATAACAGCCAGGCAGGGTTTATAATTCCTCTCCATTTTTTCCGTGCCTTTAAAACACTTTAAATGTTACAATAACAACTTAAAATGTGTACTCACTAAATAAACATAAGAGTTTTCCTTTAAATACTGCTAACTTTTAACCTCTACACCTATCCAACTTACAGCCACTCATTCAGAGGTATTTAACAGAGGAACAACACACGTTTTGCTAAAAGAAGAAGAAAACAGACAGAACAAGACAAAAAAAACCAGTCTGTCTATTTTCATAGTACAGAGATGGCAAAGGGTTTGTGCGATATCAATATTTATTTAATTAATTTGGTCGGAGAATACATTTATAAGAAAAGAACAGGACTGCTTGCCAGATTGTGTTTTATGATAAAGGGGAATCAATACAAGGCAAATAAAACAAATCACAATTCTAACCAAATGAAACATTTGGCCATGCTCCTTTTTTAAGCATATAAGCTGATTTGATTTGCTTGGTAACGATAATTTCCATAATTTGAGCTTCGTTACAGTCTTTGATATAGTGTTATGTTAATGACTTGATCTAAAAGGGTTGATGGCTGTGTCAGTCTGTCAGTCAGCAGCAGGCACAGCATCTGTGATACTCAGCTGCAAATAAAATCAGGAAAGATGAACTGTCTGTGCATCTTCATCTTTGCCCTCGACAAGAAGCACTGTTCAGGAAGTTCTAATACATGTTTTTTATGGTTAGTATATGAGTTTTCAATAAATGGTTGATATCAGCAGCAAGAACACATTTCCCTATGCACCGAAAGGAAGGAAACTGTTTAAAGTTGCCAATAGCATCCTTTTAAATTATTTAATAATTTTATAGACAATTACAGGTTGTTATTGAATTGCACATTTTCTAAATAGTAAACTGCAGTTAAGAATAAAGTTTTATTGAATTTCTAAGCAAGTGCAAAACCCCCTTTGCGCCAAGTTTCTGGCATTCACAGGCCAGTCACGCTGGTATAAAAGCCACCAAAAGAAAGCTCTATCTGTCCCCAAAAAATGATATGAAAATCGTTTCAGTAAAGTGTTGCATGACGGAATAAACGTCAGTCAAAGTACAGCAGCACTGAATACTGAAAAATGGCCTGGCCAGGAAGGGGGTGAAACACTATGGCCTTTAAGTGGTTAAAGGAGAACTGTGCTTAGAGAAAATAGAGGATACCATTGCTGACCTTAAAGATAATGTTAGTTACCTGTCTGTTATCCTAATCTGATGGCTTTGATACATGCTGAGTTATTGACCTGAAAGTCTGACATCCTCCATATTTTTCTCAACACAGGACTTTCTTTAACACATATTAAGAATATCAATTCTGGAGACGGTGTTGTTTACCTTTTCCACTTTAAGAGAGTACAAACCGTAAAAGCCAACCGCCTTTAAAGTGTTATAGACTCTACATGTTGGGGTCTACAGCATGTGTAATTATAAATGCTGTTTTGTAGTTGTGTAAGCTGTATTTCTTTAAAACCCATAAAGCTGGAATACAATTATTTTTACCACAAAAGTAAATTTGTTATTATGCTTTTATTAAATGTTTCATAAAGCTGATTAAAGGAAAATTCCATGTGAAAATTATAATCTCAAAATCTCAGTTTTATGCTGAAAGGATGACCTGCAAGTTTCCTCAATCTGCAGTTTAACCCCCTTTCTGAAATCATATCAATAATACTCACTGGGCTCTACTCTAGTGCTAGTACTAATACTCTGACAGGCAACTATAGCAAAAACTAGCATTGAACTTCTGCTACCTTAGTCACCCTTTCTACCCCATGCCAACATTAAACACCAAGAGGTCTATTCACGAAGCTGCCGAAGGATCTAGCCGTAGCTTCGGCTAGTTTCGGCCCTAGGACCCCTTCGGTTCAGTAGAACTGATGGGGTTCTGTACGGGCTATTCACTATAGCCCGTACAGCTCCCGAACGTGGCCGAGCAGCTCAAAGGGAGCCGAACGCATATGCATCGGCTCGGCTGAGCTGCGCTTAAAGCCGAAGCTGGCTGAGCAGCCGGCCATTGGCCGGCCGACAGACTGCTTCTGACAGCTGGGCGGTTATATATATGTATATATATATATACATACACACACATACAGTATATATCTGGTTGCATTATCACAAGTTTGAACTCTGATGAAGGGGGTATGCCCCTGAAATGCGTTAGTTCATTTAAGATTTCAGACTCAGATGCCTCTGGATGTGTATGTTATCTCTGTGACAGGTTCATGATCACATGGGCTTTGTGAGTAGTATTTTATCTTTTATACAATTTTCATAAAACATACTTCACGAAGACAAGGCGATGTTCTTGTGTTTTTTATTTCTTATTCTTTCTACCCCAGCCTGTGACTAGGCAATGAAGGAGCTCTGTATGTTTACAGTGTCAGACTAACAGCATTGTTAAAGGCAATGACTGACTCATCAACACCATACAAGTCATGATGCCATACCCCCCTTTCCCCCAATGCCCATACTATCTACATCCTGTGATTGACAAGGTAAGGTCTAACATCACAGTCACAGCATTTTTCCAGTCGGGCTTTGCAAAGGAAGTGTGTCCAAAATCTTCTGGTGCCAAATGGGCATTCATTTTAGGGAGAGACTGATGCCATGTGCCCGCCTACCGCTTTGTGAGTGAAAAGCAAACTGATTGCAGACTCAAATACAGAATGCTGTAAAAACCTGATAACTAATTAAATAAACTGAATGTGTTGCTGTGTTCTTTTTACTTGTCTGCAAAACGGGACACTTGCAATTAGTTTTGCTGACTGTGGCCATGTATTTCTACTTCAACAGCTGTCTTAGAGCACCTACTCAACTAAAGATACATTGAATAGACTGTTTAGGCAGGTTTAATATATCTATATATATATTAATAAATATATTGTAATGTGATTGTACAGAGGGATTATAGTGATCTAGAACACAGACAGATTTGATTGTTTATACTAGCTATATAAAAGATGATGAATGCATAACTGGAATAAATGCTTTTATGTGCATGTGATTCTCCACTGAATTCTGATTGAATGTTTGTATTAAATTGACTATGTCCCAAACCTATTATTAGGAGGAAATTTAAACTTACAATATCTGTGGATGACAATTCCCAATTCAGATGTGGTATATTTTTGTGTGAAATGGAGTATCTATTTTATAAAACATAGCCTGATCAGATACTAATGTGCTTGTCCAGTGCCCCTCATGCCTGTGTTAATTGAGCGATGCCCATGGCAGCATCTAAGGATAATTGCTGCACATAGGTGAACAGCCTAAGTTACGCAAGAAGGGGATATTCAGTGCTTTGCCAAAAATCAATCCTGGCTCAGAGCCCTGGGGAAAAAATTAAGTTAACTTAATGAAGCAAACTGAGCATGGATATTCCCATACTCATTAAATAGAAACATGTGTTTAACATAATTTAACCGACTTTACCTGAACTAGGTTGGCTGAAGTAATGCTGTCGTGACCTCAAAAAATTACAGGCACAAATTTACTCAATAACACTGCATGACTTTACATCTGTACCACAAATGAGGACACCCATGGGAAACTTATTATTGAACCCATGTAATATTGTACAAACCACTAGGAAATATGGCCTTTGCCTCTACACTACTAAGTAATAAAAACAGATGGGACATTCCCCACTTATCTGCTGCCACTCTGTCAGATGTTTTGGTGTTATACTCTGCAAAATATAATATCTAAATAAATAGTTTACAACTGGAGTTCTTAGATGTGCCCATAAAAATAAAGAAACCAAACTTTTTATACTCCAGCAACCTCTTACCTACTGAAGAGCAGAATCAAGACAGTTATTTAATCTAAGTCAAACTCTCCCGGGGACCTGCCATTGCCAATGCCAATGTGATCCCTGGGGCCATCATCTTAATCTGAGTTACCCATGTGAGTTGCTTATCTCGAACTAGCCTACAGGACAGGAAATAGTCAAGTCAGCAATGGTAGCTCCCATATTTCTGTCCTCACAACGTTATATCTCATGCTTCAGGCAGTATGTATTGTCTGAAAATGTAAAACACATTGTAAAGAACAGGCTTGGGCTATTGGATAAACAAATTTCAAGGTAAATCATTTTTACAAGGTCTACAGTTAGGGGTCTATTCACTATGCTGCCGAGTGCAGCCGAGTGAATGACCGATCAGAAGTGAAGTGAGCCGAACACTGTTCGGCTATTCACTTCAGGCTGGTAATGCTGATTTCAGCCGTACATCGGCTGAAATCCGCCGTACATCGGCCTGCTTCGTGTGGCTTCGGGTCGGCCGAACATGCTCAGCATGTTCGGCCGACCCGAAGTGCAGAAGGAGTTTGACTCAGCCGATCCAACATCTGGATCG